TAGAGTTTTCCAGCGACAGCGCTGGGATTTTCTATGAATTTTTTGACCTACGTGTCAATGATAAATATGTCGAGAAAAAGGAAAAGACTTTTAGATCATTAGATTGTGCATTCACTATACTATTGATTATAATATGTTCGATTTTACATTCCTGACATTTATTACAAAATGCGAGGAGCTACCGTATTGAGAACCCCTTTCCGGTTATCGACAAATTTATGCTCGGGCCCTATCATACCAACAGTTCCGTACGCTCCATCGTAGTCCATGCGCCACCGCTACGATTTTTGTTGTTGAACACTTTACATTGGCCCTGTTCATCTCCCCTATAATCTCTGAGTACAAAATTCAGTAATCATGTGGGCCGATACAATACTCATCGTGTTCATTAGTATTTGTACAGCATTATTGGGTGAAGGTAAGCAATGTTATCTCACAATAAAAGCTATCGATTGGAGTAGGAGCATGCCAGGGCAAAACCATAATAATTGACTCCGTCTGAATATATTAATTAATAATTCATGCAATTTTCAGGTTTAACATGGCTAATGGTTTATAGAACAGAAAAATATCAGAAATTGAAATCGGAGGTTGAGAAACAAAGTAAAAAACGTGAGAATCTATCATCATCAATCTCTCTCTCTTTCTACAATCTATGAAACATCAGTTTATGGGTGAATTTATCATTGTTTTCAGTTGAAAAAAGGAAAGAAGCACATGGAGACTCCTTAGACAAACAGCAGAAGAAAAAAATTGAACGAGAAGAGGAAAGACTTAAGAATAACAATCGTGATTTATCGCTCGTTAAAATGAAATCAATGTTTGCCATTGGTTTCGCCTTCACAGCTTTATTGAGTATGTTCAATAGTATATTCGATGGAAAAATTGTTGCAAGACTACCATTTGTGCCAATTAGTTGGATTCAGGGATTGTCCCATAGGAATTTATCTGGCGATGACTACACAGAGTGTTCATTCATTTTTTTATATATTCTCTGCACCATGAGCATCAGACAGGTAAATCAAATATTACAGAATTTGCTTGAATGGTGAAATCAATTCTGTAGGGAAAGCTCAAAACTTAATATGCTAAACATGACTTTTCATTAAATGTCAAACTATTTCGATGATGAGTGTTTTTAAAGGTACAAATCGAATTGCCTTCTTTGATTTTCTCCTAAATTCACTCCTTATCGGACTAATCTGACACGTTGGGAAAACTGAATATTGCATTTGCTGTGTGGGGTTTTAACCACTTCACTATGGATTTGTTAATATTCTTAAAATTGCTTCATGTTTTTGTTTCAATTCTTTCCAGAATATCCAAAAAATTCTGGGATTTGCACCCTCAAGGACAGCCAGTAAGCAGAGTGGGAGCATCTTCGGCCCCCCCCCTCAACAGTTCAAGTAATTAGTTATTTTCATCACAAGGTCCACAAAGTATTTTCTGACGAATGTGGCTTTGTAGGCCGAGCCGAAGGCGAGGCCTATAATCACATTCATCAGAAAATACTTTTGGACCGTGTGATGAATGCAATTTTTCGTCAGAAGGCCCGTAAACCGCGATCAAACCGAGCGAAGCGAGGTTAGGATCGCGGTTTACCGGGTCTTCTCACGAAAAATATATTTTGAGTTCTCAAGCGAATGAATGAAATAACAATCAACAAAAACAACTGGTTTATTTAAGCTAATTAAATTCATGTTTACAAAACTGAAATATAATCATTAATCCCTCCAGGACGGTGCCCTTTAGATACTAATCTCGCCGTGTGCTAAATAGGAACGCAATTCACAAATTTCCAGTAGTCCAAAAAAGATATAATATAGGAGTAATCAAATGCAGGCGATTTGTCTTCACAATAGAGTTTACACAAATTTGTAAAGTTGTATATTTTTGGATATATTCAATTTTGAAAAAAGACATGTATGGACGTGTGGGTCCATATGTGGTATGGACGCTAGGTTTAAGGGGTTAAATAATATTGACTTCTTGCATAGGTTCAAGCGTGATGAGCCTATCAAAAGCTAATCTATCTAAATCTAGTGTCCTAAATTCCGAATAAACAACCAACTCAGCTATAGCTCGCCCAACAGCGGGTGCCTGTTGAATTCCATGTCCACTGAATCCGCAGGCGAAGTACATGTTATTGAAAAAAGGGTGTGGACCAATTATTCCATTCTCGTCGAATTTGTTGACGTCATAGTAACCCGCCCAGGAGGACTTAATTTTCAAATTCTCGAAGGATTTCACTCGATTTCCAAGGAAGGGCCATATATTTTTCTCGAAAAAATCTTCATCCACATCTAGATTGTTGATGGAGGGCTCGTTTACATCACAATTTGGTGATCGACCACATATATAGTGGTTGGCAAGACCGTCTCGTCTGAACCAGGTTCCAGAATAGTCAATTGTCATCGGAGTGTTTATCCCTGGACCCGCTGATGCATGGAAATGATACACGTACCGTTTTCTATTAAAAAAACACAAACCAAACAATTAGTATAGTAACTGACGTAACAACGTTGTGGAAATAGATAAGTTAAATAATTTCGTAAAATTTATTCTACAAATACATCCAAAAATAGTAAATTCGGAGAAAAATGTCCAACTAGCAATTTTTTTTTCGGAGTATGTTTTATAAAAAAATCAATCAATCAATGGAAAGCTAACTTCACAAAATTTATAGAGGTTCATTTTACAAATATCTCTGAAACAAATAGATTTGAAGGAAACATAACCGACATTAGCACATAAAAATTAGATAAATAGTGAGACTGAATAAACATTCTTTTTCTTTATTTTTCACAGTAAAATAGAATTACCCAAAGGACAAATTGAACCCTACGAATTAAATAGACAATAGTGGTTGCTGTAACCGGTTATGTAGTATAAGTTTCCCAATTGCAACAGCATCAATTAACTAAACCAGAGATGGATAACGCATGAGTAGCTCGGAGCTCCTGCCATAAATCAATTATGACCGTTATAAAGTTTTATACAGTAGGACTGGCGAAACAATTCCATTGTTAATTATAGGTTATGCATTGAACGCCCATTCCCCCACCACTCAACTCAGTGGAATAATCCACTGATCTGAATAATCTCGCCAGTCCTACAGTAATTCTTCCAATTACATGGGTCCCAGTATGATCATAGTCCAGTTAATCTAGCAAAAAAATCAACATCAAATCCAAAAGTTTCGAAATTTTGTGATATGATAGGGTAGGTTATATAAACGATAAAGTTATATTTGCAACTATCTCCGCAGCCCGCAACATGTGAAAATTTTTATAAACAATACTTTTGAATATAACTCCTTGAGAAATATTACAAAACTTTTGCAAATCCAATTCCGATCTCATCATACGACTCCAAAAAACCTATCAAATTTTCAACCAATTTAGGAGGGCGCAATATGACAATTATCGTTAATTAAACAATATTGTTTATAACTTGACGTCAAAAATTCCAAAAGTAGTGCAAACTCGCTAGGAAATTCAGAGTACTGTTATTGAACATTGCTGCAATTTGCAACCTTTTTTAGCACGCTTAAGGCACTTCTTTCTCAATTAACATTGTAAACATTCTATTATTCAATGTAACGCGTGAAAAAAAAAACAAAAGTTATAAAATAGAACTGCAAATGTTAGTAACGTTACTCTACTTCTTATACAAAGTTTGCAACCTCATGAATAATCGGCAACATTTGAAATTGAAAAAAATAATAATGATTAGAATTTTCAACAATTTTTTACCTAGGAGAATGATTTAAAAGTTCTGCAAATATAGGAGTGTTAAAAACCCTTCTCATTAGGTGATTTTAAATTTGCAAGCTTGTGAATCATCGGTAACGTTTGAAATAAGAAAAAATAACAATTATTGTAATTCTCGATTTTTTCAACTTCAGAGATATAATCAAAAGGCTTGCAAACATGGGAAGATGTTGGAAACCCTTTCCCCTATGTGAGTTTAAATTTGCAACTTCGTGAACCATCGACGTTTGAAAAAAAATAAAAACAATAATTGTAATTCTCAGTTATTTCCAAGCTTGAAGAAATAATCAAAAGTTTTGCAAGCACGGGAGAATATTAAAATTTGCCACCTCGTGAATCATCGGGAACATTTGAAATGAAAAAATTTAATAATGATTGCAGTTAGCAATTATTTTCAGTCTCGGAGGGATAATCAAAAGTCTTGCAAAAATAGGAGAATATTGGGAATACCTCCCTCTATGTTGATTTAAATTTGCAGTCGTTTTGATATTCTGCTCGCCATTTTTTCATTATGAACTTGAAATAGGTGCATCCCATAATTATCCGCCAGTAGTACAAAAATTCAATACGTATGAAAACATTCAATCAAAAACTTGACACATTCGAAAAAAAAAATTATCGGTTTTGTATAAGGAAAAGTAATGGAATTTGATTGAATTTTTATGGATATTCAATCAAAACTGTAGTCAAGTTCTGGGATAAAATGCTATCTTTCTTTCATCCTGTCTTTAATTCTATAGATTTGCTTTGCGATTTTGTTTTGAATATGAGCAGTTCCACGCTAAATCGGACGCCCGAAAAATTCAATGTCGGGGATTTTTTTGCTGATTGTTTTCTGAAAAGTTTGGCACCAGACGAAAATTTTGAAAAAATAATAATCGAAAAGTATTCATAGTTGCGGAAGTTGTGATTTTTTGAAAATTTACATTTTTTTTCGATGATTTTTTTTTCACATTATCATCAATATTTCAGACTCCTTCGGAGCGATTACATTTCTCTCCAGCACACTTAAAGAAAATTTAAAAAACCCTCAAAATGAGATGTCACTCGCTACATTTGCTTCAGTTTTAGAGGCTTTGTGCGCCAAAACGTGTTTTTTTGTCAATCGTGATTATCTCAAAAACCTAATTTTTTTTTAATCGGAAATTTTTACCAAAAATCATCGATAAAATGACAAATATTTTCGCGTAAATTAAAATCAGACCTTCGCAGTAGTTTATGAGTTATCGGTACTTCAAGTGAGCAAGCGACTGAAAATGGCCGAGAATTTCTGTTATTCATCGAATTATTCCAGGAATGAATGAATTTTTGCTACAAATTAAGTGTCAAAAGATGAAATTTTCGAGCTGCAGAAAAGACTGCAGAGGAAACCGGGGCAAAATGGAACGCTTGGTGGAACAAGAGTACGATACAAAGTAACAACCCCAGTGAAATTTTCATTTTCATCGAATTTGTAATGAATCGGATGGGAAAAATTATATGAAAATCTCTCTGGAGAATTGACAGGGATTTTTGGTGGGGTTGGGGGGTTCAAAAACTATTTTTGGTTTTTCTTTTCGATTTTTTCATCACAACTTGCGTGTGAGCTTTACGATTTTTTTCTGCGTTTCTATTTATTTGTTCCTGTAACGTAACTCGGGTTTTATTGAACTGGGCTGAATTGAAATTTGATTTTCAGGAAAATAATCCATCGCATGATTCATATAGAGAAGATCCAACCGCTCAATTTTCTGCTCATAACAATCCTCAAAGATTCCATAACGGTGAATTTTGAATTTGGAAAAAAACAATTTATTGATTTATACGGGAAACATGCGCATGAATTGCGGAATTTATTTGTCTAGACACCAATTTTCTGCTGCACCGAGGAAAAAATACCAGAAAAATCATTGTGCTATCCCGGGGAAATGGGTTCATTTTGACGGACCCGGAAAAGTTCACGTGCCCGCACCGGAATTTTTGCGGCGCGCTACAGGGATTTTTCTCGGAGTCACCAAGAAAAATTCTGGTATTCTACAGCAAATTTTCCGGTACTGCACAGTGATTTTTCTGATATTTTTTTCTCCGTGTGAACGAAGAATCCTCTATTCGCGCAATTCAAGGTAATGTTACACTGATAATTTGTTGTTAAATTTTAGCCCTGGCTAGAGTCTAATTCTCAATGTTTTCAATTTGAATTCAATTTAACCACAACTGTTTCATGGAATTCCATATTTATTTCGAAAATTCAATTTTTGACGTTAGGTGATCATTTATTGTTAAGTGAAAGCTTGAATTCTGAAGCTCATTGTGAAAATTGATTTCATTTAAGTGTCATGATTTTCAAGAGATGAAAACCTAGAATAATTTATGTCTACTTTTCCAAAATTATTAATCATTTACATTCTCAGATTGACCTAAACATTGAAATTTCACTGAATTATCCAGAAATAAATTGATATTTCAGTGATACAAGATGGGCAAATTTCATGGGAATTGGTATTATTCTCTTTTCATTTGAAGATTTCCTACTATAAAATTCCATAGTAACATTTACTACTTTCAAAATATGATGACATAAGAAGTCATCAGGAGTATTATTGCAGATGCAAAAAAAATTTACCCTCTTGTAAAGAAAAATAAAACGTTTTGATCTGGTATTTTCTAACATACCTTCAAACAAATTATTTCTGATGGAATTTATGTGTATGATATTTCAGGTACTATAAGACGAAATTGGCGGCTAATTTGGAAAGTCGAGTAGGATTTATCTGCATAGTCAATGACGTTGCATACCTCTTCTCATGTCATCAATAAAGTTCTCAAACATGATTGTTTTTAAATTTAGAGGAATGTTCTAAATTCAACAACAATATTATTAAGTTAATGCACTGACTGTATTTTTGTCAATTTTTCTGGTCAACACAAAACAAGTGGGGAATTGCTGTTGTTTTCATATAGAATACTCAATTACTCATGTTTGCTGATAAATTAGCAATTCGCTTCCAAATGATCATTTTGCACATAATTTTCTCCTATTGTATACAGGGTGTCCCACAACTGATCCTTTTCCTCAGAGGGTATTGAAGAGGATCATTTTTGGGGATGAAAGTTCCTCTATTGTTTTTCGATCAGACGATTTTTTTTTCGAAATAAGTTTGTTTGACTTCATATTTTTCAAAGTCTGTTACTACTTTTTCCAGGGCCGAAAATTATTTTTTTTCTTCATTTTTTTTTCTAATAGTTTCGCGCAGTTTATTGNACAGCATTATTGGGTGAAGGTAAGCAATGTTATCTCACAATAAAAGCTATCGATTGGAGTAGGAGCATGCCAGGGCAAAACCATAATAATTGACTCCGTCTGAATATATTAATTAATAATTCATGCAATTTTCAGGTTTAACATGGCTAATGGTTTATAGAACAGAAAAATATCAGAAATTGAAATCGGAGGTTGAGAAACAAAGTAAAAAACGTGAGAATCTATCATCATCAATCTCTCTCTCTTTCTACAATCTATGAAACATCAGTTTATGGGTGAATTTATCATTGTTTTCAGTTGAAAAAAGGAAAGAAGCACATGGAGACTCCTTAGACAAACAGCAGAAGAAAAAAATTGAACGAGAAGAGGAAAGACTTAAGAATAACAATCGTGATTTATCGCTCGTTAAAATGAAATCAATGTTTGCCATTGGTTTCGCCTTCACAGCTTTATTGAGTATGTTCAATAGTATATTCGATGGAAAAATTGTTGCAAGACTACCATTTGTGCCAATTAGTTGGATTCAGGGATTGTCCCATAGGAATTTATCTGGCGATGACTACACAGAGTGTTCATTCATTTTTTTATATATTCTCTGCACCATGAGCATCAGACAGGTAAATCAAATATTACAGAATTTGCTTGAATGGTGAAATCAATTCTGTAGGGAAAGCTCAAAACTTAATATGCTAAACATGACTTTTCATTAAATGTCAAACTATTTCGATGATGAGTGTTTTTAAAGGTACAAATCGAATTGCCTTCTTTGATTTTCTCCTAAATTCACTCCTTATCGGACTAATCTGACACGTTGGGAAAACTGAATATTGCATTTGCTGTGTGGGGTTTTAACCACTTCACTATGGATTTGTTAATATTCTTAAAATTGCTTCATGTTTTTGTTTCAATTCTTTCCAGAATATCCAAAAAATTCTGGGATTTGCACCCTCAAGGACAGCCAGTAAGCAGAGTGGGAGCATCTTCGGCCCCCCCCCTCAACAGTTCAAGTAATTAGTTATTTTCATCACAAGGTCCACAAAGTATTTTCTGACGAATGTGGCTTTGTAGGCCGAGCCGAAGGCGAGGCCTATAATCACATTCATCAGAAAATACTTTTGGACCGTGTGATGAATGCAATTTTTCGTCAGAAGGCCCGTAAACCGCGATCAAACCGAGCGAAGCGAGGTTAGGATCGCGGTTTACCGGGTCTTCTCACGAAAAATATATTTTGAGTTCTCAAGCGAATGAATGAAATAACAATCAACAAAAACAACTGGTTTATTTAAGCTAATTAAATTCATGTTTACAAAACTGAAATATAATCATTAATCCCTCCAGGACGGTGCCCTTTAGATACTAATCTCGCCGTGTGCTAAATAGGAACGCAATTCACAAATTTCCAGTAGTCCAAAAAAGATATAATATAGGAGTAATCAAATGCAGGCGATTTGTCTTCACAATAGAGTTTACACAAATTTGTAAAGTTGTATATTTTTGGATATATTCAATTTTGAAAAAAGACATGTATGGACGTGTGGGTCCATATGTGGTATGGACGCTAGGTTTAAGGGGTTAAATAATATTGACTTCTTGCATAGGTTCAAGCGTGATGAGCCTATCAAAAGCTAATCTATCTAAATCTAGTGTCCTAAATTCCGAATAAACAACCAACTCAGCTATAGCTCGCCCAACAGCGGGTGCCTGTTGAATTCCATGTCCACTGAATCCGCAGGCGAAGTACATGTTATTGAAAAAAGGGTGTGGACCAATTATTCCATTCTCGTCGAATTTGTTGACGTCATAGTAACCCGCCCAGGAGGACTTAATTTTCAAATTCTCGAAGGATTTCACTCGATTTCCAAGGAAGGGCCATATATTTTTCTCGAAAAAATCTTCATCCACATCTAGATTGTTGATGGAGGGCTCGTTTACATCACAATTTGGTGATCGACCACATATATAGTGGTTGGCAAGACCGTCTCGTCTGAACCAGGTTCCAGAATAGTCAATTGTCATCGGAGTGTTTATCCCTGGACCCGCTGATGCATGGAAATGATACACGTACCGTTTTCTATTAAAAAAACACAAACCAAACAATTAGTATAGTAACTGACGTAACAACGTTGTGGAAATAGATAAGTTAAATAATTTCGTAAAATTTATTCTACAAATACATCCAAAAATAGTAAATTCGGAGAAAAATGTCCAACTAGCAATTTTTTTTTCGGAGTATGTTTTATAAAAAAATCAATCAATCAATGGAAAGCTAACTTCACAAAATTTATAGAGGTTCATTTTACAAATATCTCTGAAACAAATAGATTTGAAGGAAACATAACCGACATTAGCACATAAAAATTAGATAAATAGTGAGACTGAATAAACATTCTTTTTCTTTATTTTTCACAGTAAAATAGAATTACCCAAAGGACAAATTGAACCCTACGAATTAAATAGACAATAGTGGTTGCTGTAACCGGTTATGTAGTATAAGTTTCCCAATTGCAACAGCATCAATTAACTAAACCAGAGATGGATAACGCATGAGTAGCTCGGAGCTCCTGCCATAAATCAATTATGACCGTTATAAAGTTTTATACAGTAGGACTGGCGAAACAATTCCATTGTTAATTATAGGTTATGCATTGAACGCCCATTCCCCCACCACTCAACTCAGTGGAATAATCCACTGATCTGAATAATCTCGCCAGTCCTACAGTAATTCTTCCAATTACATGGGTCCCAGTATGATCATAGTCCAGTTAATCTAGCAAAAAAATCAACATCAAATCCAAAAGTTTCGAAATTTTGTGATATGATAGGGTAGGTTATATAAACGATAAAGTTATATTTGCAACTATCTCCGCAGCCCGCAACATGTGAAAATTTTTATAAACAATACTTTTGAATATAACTCCTTGAGAAATATTACAAAACTTTTGCAAATCCAATTCCGATCTCATCATACGACTCCAAAAAACCTATCAAATTTTCAACCAATTTAGGAGGGCGCAATATGACAATTATCGTTAATTAAACAATATTGTTTATAACTTGACGTCAAAAATTCCAAAAGTAGTGCAAACTCGCTAGGAAATTCAGAGTACTGTTATTGAACATTGCTGCAATTTGCAACCTTTTTTAGCACGCTTAAGGCACTTCTTTCTCAATTAACATTGTAAACATTCTATTATTCAATGTAACGCGTGAAAAAAAAAACAAAAGTTATAAAATAGAACTGCAAATGTTAGTAACGTTACTCTACTTCTTATACAAAGTTTGCAACCTCATGAATAATCGGCAACATTTGAAATTGAAAAAAATAATAATGATTAGAATTTTCAACAATTTTTTACCTAGGAGAATGATTTAAAAGTTCTGCAAATATAGGAGTGTTAAAAACCCTTCTCATTAGGTGATTTTAAATTTGCAAGCTTGTGAATCATCGGTAACGTTTGAAATAAGAAAAAATAACAATTATTGTAATTCTCGATTTTTTCAACTTCAGAGATATAATCAAAAGGCTTGCAAACATGGGAAGATGTTGGAAACCCTTTCCCCTATGTGAGTTTAAATTTGCAACTTCGTGAACCATCGACGTTTGAAAAAAAATAAAAACAATAATTGTAATTCTCAGTTATTTCCAAGCTTGAAGAAATAATCAAAAGTTTTGCAAGCACGGGAGAATATTAAAATTTGCCACCTCGTGAATCATCGGGAACATTTGAAATGAAAAAATTTAATAATGATTGCAGTTAGCAATTATTTTCAGTCTCGGAGGGATAATCAAAAGTCTTGCAAAAATAGGAGAATATTGGGAATACCTCCCTCTATGTTGATTTAAATTTGCAGTCGTTTTGATATTCTGCTCGCCATTTTTTCATTATGAACTTGAAATAGGTGCATCCCATAATTATCCGCCAGTAGTACAAAAATTCAATACGTATGAAAACATTCAATCAAAAACTTGACACATTCGAAAAAAAAAATTATCGGTTTTGTATAAGGAAAAGTAATGGAATTTGATTGAATTTTTATGGATATTCAATCAAAACTGTAGTCAAGTTCTGGGATAAAATGCTATCTTTCTTTCATCCTGTCTTTAATTCTATAGATTTGCTTTGCGATTTTGTTTTGAATATGAGCAGTTCCACGCTAAATCGGACGCCCGAAAAATTCAATGTCGGGGATTTTTTTGCTGATTGTTTTCTGAAAAGTTTGGCACCAGACGAAAATTTTGAAAAAATAATAATCGAAAAGTATTCATAGTTGCGGAAGTTGTGATTTTTTGAAAATTTACATTTTTTTTCGATGATTTTTTTTTCACATTATCATCAATATTTCAGACTCCTTCGGAGCGATTACATTTCTCTCCAGCACACTTAAAGAAAATTTAAAAAACCCTCAAAATGAGATGTCACTCGCTACATTTGCTTCAGTTTTAGAGGCTTTGTGCGCCAAAACGTGTTTTTTTGTCAATCGTGATTATCTCAAAAACCTAATTTTTTTTTAATCGGAAATTTTTACCAAAAATCATCGATAAAATGACAAATATTTTCGCGTAAATTAAAATCAGACCTTCGCAGTAGTTTATGAGTTATCGGTACTTCAAGTGAGCAAGCGACTGAAAATGGCCGAGAATTTCTGTTATTCATCGAATTATTCCAGGAATGAATGAATTTTTGCTACAAATTAAGTGTCAAAAGATGAAATTTTCGAGCTGCAGAAAAGACTGCAGAGGAAACCGGGGCAAAATGGAACGCTTGGTGGAACAAGAGTACGATACAAAGTAACAACCCCAGTGAAATTTTCATTTTCATCGAATTTGTAATGAATCGGATGGGAAAAATTATATGAAAATCTCTCTGGAGAATTGACAGGGATTTTTGGTGGGGTTGGGGGGTTCAAAAACTATTTTTGGTTTTTCTTTTCGATTTTTTCATCACAACTTGCGTGTGAGCTTTACGATTTTTTTCTGCGTTTCTATTTATTTGTTCCTGTAACGTAACTCGGGTTTTATTGAACTGGGCTGAATTGAAATTTGATTTTCAGGAAAATAATCCATCGCATGATTCATATAGAGAAGATCCAACCGCTCAATTTTCTGCTCATAACAATCCTCAAAGATTCCATAACGGTGAATTTTGAATTTGGAAAAAAACAATTTATTGATTTATACGGGAAACATGCGCATGAATTGCGGAATTTATTTGTCTAGACACCAATTTTCTGCTGCACCGAGGAAAAAATACCAGAAAAATCATTGTGCTATCCCGGGGAAATGGGTTCATTTTGACGGACCCGGAAAAGTTCACGTGCCCGCACCGGAATTTTTGCGGCGCGCTACAGGGATTTTTCTCGGAGTCACCAAGAAAAATTCTGGTATTCTACAGCAAATTTTCCGGTACTGCACAGTGATTTTTCTGATATTTTTTTCTCCGTGTGAACGAAGAATCCTCTATTCGCGCAATTCAAGGTAATGTTACACTGATAATTTGTTGTTAAATTTTAGCCCTGGCTAGAGTCTAATTCTCAATGTTTTCAATTTGAATTCAATTTAACCACAACTGTTTCATGGAATTCCATATTTATTTCGAAAATTCAATTTTTGACGTTAGGTGATCATTTATTGTTAAGTGAAAGCTTGAATTCTGAAGCTCATTGTGAAAATTGATTTCATTTAAGTGTCATGATTTTCAAGAGATGAAAACCTAGAATAATTTATGTCTACTTTTCCAAAATTATTAATCATTTACATTCTCAGATTGACCTAAACATTGAAATTTCACTGAATTATCCAGAAATAAATTGATATTTCAGTGATACAAGATGGGCAAATTTCATGGGAATTGGTATTATTCTCTTTTCATTTGAAGATTTCCTACTATAAAATTCCATAGTAACATTTACTACTTTCAAAATATGATGACATAAGAAGTCATCAGGAGTATTATTGCAGATGCAAAAAAAATTTACCCTCTTGTAAAGAAAAATAAAACGTTTTGATCTGGTATTTTCTAACATACCTTCAAACAAATTATTTCTGATGGAATTTATGTGTATGATATTTCAGGTACTATAAGACGAAATTGGCGGCTAATTTGGAAAGTCGAGTAGGATTTATCTGCATAGTCAATGACGTTGCATACCTCTTCTCATGTCATCAATAAAGTTCTCAAACATGATTGTTTTTAAATTTAGAGGAATGTTCTAAATTCAACAACAATATTATTAAGTTAATGCACTGACTGTATTTTTGTCAATTTTTCTGGTCAACACAAAACAAGTGGGGAATTGCTGTTGTTTTCATATAGAATACTCAATTACTCATGTTTGCTGATAAATTAGCAATTCGCTTCCAAATGATCATTTTGCACATAATTTTCTCCTATTGTATACAGGGTGTCCCACAACTGATCCTTTTCCTCAGAGGGTATTGAAGAGGATCATTTTTGGGGATGAAAGTTCCTCTATTGTTTTTCGATCAGACGATTTTTTTTTCGAAATAAGTTTGTTTGACTTCATATTTTTCAAAGTCTGTTACTACTTTTTCCAGGGCCGAAAATTATTTTTTTTCTTCATTTTTTTTTCTAATAGTTTCGCGCAGTTTATTGGTAAGTAACTCTCGTGACCCTAGTGAAGTTTGACAATTCCCTTCTTACCCTCGTGAAATTTCACCATTCCCTTGTGACCCACATGAAATTTTACCATTTCCTTGTGACCTTCGTGAAGTTGAACCATCCTCTCGGGACCCTCGTCACGTTTGACCCTCGTAAAATTCAACCATTCCTTTGTGACCCTCGTGAAATTAGACCATCCTCTTGTGATCCTCGCGACGTTCGAGCCTCGTAAAATTTGACCATTCGCTTGGGATCCTCGTGACCCTCATAAAATTTGACCATCCCCTTGCGACCCTCGTGATGTTCGATCCTCGTGAAATTTAACCACCCCTTTGCGACACATGTGACCCTCGTGACGTTCTTCGCCTCGTGAAGTTCAACCCCTCGTAACTCTGGTGATGTTTGATCCTCGAAAAAATTTGATGATCCCCGTGTGACTCTCGGGACCCTC